CACATGCCCTTGGGGGCTTGGCCCCCACTGCGGGTTGACAAATGGACAACAAGTGCATGTATCGGTCTAGTCTGGATTCTTATTTAGAGGCGTTCAGTCATAATCCAAAGCACGGAAGCTTCACGCAACTGACTTTTCAACCGAGCGCGATAATCAATTGTGCAAATCAACAGTTCCTATCGTATTGGGTTAAATCAATATCGTGATACTATCATCAGTAATGTAAGATTAACATGCATCGGAAAGCTATTAAAGTATTTGGCCCACACCGGAAAGCTATAAAACATAAAACACTATGTAAGACTTTGGACTACTCTTCCTATTAGATTAACCTTTTAGGACGGAACCCCGGGTCTTAATATGGCATCGGAGCCAAGTCCGATTGTGGTTTGTTTGCTTGTTTAGCACACATGATTAAAGGTAGCTTGTTAATGGTCTGTTTAGTCCATTTATAACACCTGATATTGTTCAGACTGGTTTGGGCTGAGGGGGCGTGCTAAAATATTTGTCCCACCCCGGAAAGCTATAAAACAATAAAACAATAATACACTATATATGTTAAGACCCGAGATTCCATCCTAAAAGGTCAACCTGTTAGGAGGAGTAGGCCAAAGCCTTTTATAGTGTGTTATTGTTTTATAACTTTTCAGTGTGGGACAAATACTTTAACATTACTCTATTTACATTCGTCCTCTCAGTTTTTCTTTTATCTACTCCCTACTAATTATGGTTTCAGTTTAAAAAGTAGACATCTTAAAAACAATTCTGAATTGATAACACGTTTTTAATTTAGTTAAGACCCCTAAGATTAAGAGTTTGTTTGGTAATATCGAAATCGGTTGATTGCTTAAATTTACAAAGTATCTGAATTGGATAATTTTGTTGGTTTATGGGGGGAGATTAAAAATATATTTTATTAATAAATTTAATAAAACATTATATGAAAAATAGCCAAAATGATTCTCTATAGTAACTTATGCCAATTCAACCAGAAAAGTACATCTAACCTTACTCTTTATTATTACTCCCTCGGTCTCTATTTAAAGTTCTCACTTTAACTTGCACTCATATTAAGAAAACGACATTCTTTGGCATTGTTTTGACATTGTTTGACAATATTTGACTTGTTGACACTATTTTGCACCAGTTTGTTTACCAAATAAGAAAAGATAATTTTATTAAGAGACATCCAAAAGAGGTGAGAACTTTAAATAGGGACGAAGGTAATATTACATAATTTAGCACGCAAAATTAAAAGTTATGTGTTTAGTAAAAAAAAATTGATGGAATCTGATACGTGGAAAAAGAGAATCAACAAAAGGACTAACTTAATTCGTGGGTCTGGCCCTACAAGTGTGGGAACTGGGAAGTGGGAAGTACACTTTGTGATTTGTGGGCAGTATGATAATTCATCAATAATGTTTAGCTTTATTGTTCTCTCAATAAAGGTACACTTTTGTATAACTCTCAATAATATATACCAACTCTTTTTAGCTGTGACATAGGGTTTGGCAAAAGAGAAGATTGTCTATCATACAAGTGGTGAGATAACATGTCGTTGGTTTAATTTGATACTGACTTAACAAAGATCCAAACAATTGATACGGAAAGATAATGAAAAACCGAGTGGCCGTTAGCCATAAAATTGGGCTGATAAGCCTTAAAATGAAAAAAAGAGTCAAACACTAGCAAATTAGGAGCCCGTTTGGTAGCACCAAAATCGGCTGTTTTGGCTGATTCTGCTGAAATTTATGATATTCTGGATGGAGTGGCTGTTTTGGCTGATTCTGCTGATTTAAGAAAAAAATATTTTAAAAATATATTTTATTAATAAATTAAAGAAAAAATTATATGTAAAAATAGCTAAAATGGTCCTCTACAGTAACTTCAGCCAATACAGCCAGAAAAGTAACTCCAACCTTACTTTTTCGGCTTATTACGCAATTCAGCGCGCGAAAGTAAAAGTTACGTGTTTGGTGAAAAAGCTGGCTGATAAGCCTGATAAGCCGAAAACAGAGTTCTCCAAACGGGCTCTAGGTTGTTTGGGCTGATATTCCTTATCAACTAAAAAAGTAGTAATAGAGTTACTTTTGAGCTAATTTCTATTTTTTGAGTTAAAGGACACTTATATCCTCTTCAAAGCAAGCGGTCAAGTATGAGCTATGTGGCTGGAACGTCAAAACCTATTGAAAGTTGAAACTAATAGGAAATATGCAGAACGTAAAATTAGTATGAGCTAAGTCCTAATAATGTAAAATTAGTAGTTGTTGTGTGTAATGTATAATTTTACATTATTTCAAAACGTAATGTTAGATGCTGCTAACATACATATATACTACGTATATAATACAAAAAAAAGTACTCCGTAATACTCTTTTTGATATTTATACATTCAATTAGCCAATTTAGCCAAAATATTACTAAACACTTTCACTTCAAAAATTTCAACCCTTCAAGCACTTTCAACACTTTCAGCTGTTGCAGCCATTACCAAACAGGCCCTGAATGTATTATACCAAGCAATGAGAAGAACTTACACTTGTAGAGGTGACATACTTTTTTTTCAACACAAGAGTGAGCTTTTTCACATTCAAAAATATGAGTAATACTAGTATATTTTTATTCCTTAAATAAGAATAATTACTATTAAAGTTGAAAATTACAATCATTTTTAAATTCTGATAATTATAATAATTACTTATAGAATAAAAATAGGAGCGAATACAGGAAGAAATGTTATTGGGGGCATTACCTTATACATAAGGGTGGATCCAATCTAGTAGTCTGGCTCGGTCTGTACTGTTTAGACCCAGACCGGCTTGTTTATCAGCTGCGGGCCTAGGACTGTCCCTGTCCCAGCCAATTGGCTGAATTGAACACCTCTCCAGTGACTGGAAATTTCCAGTTGGAGAGAGAGTGAGATAGATGAGAAGGTGGGTGGGGTAGGAAAAATGAAAGGTGGGGTGGGGTTAGTAATTTGTAGGAGAGAGATAGACTGAAAAAGAAATGAAGAGGGGAAATGGAGAAAAGAAATATAGAGGAGTATGACCCCAATTGGCCACCCAATCCCAAGTTTCAAATTTTGAGATCGAACGGGACAATTTTGGTCTCAATTTTGGTTCCAGCAGTCAAAACAACTCCTAAAAATTTAAAATTCTTCATTGAATATGACGTATGGAATAGCCTGAAAAGAAAATTGAAGTTTTGAATATTGATTCTTTTTTAAATAAATTTTAAAGAATATGGTATTTTTTTAAAAGGTAATAGTAGCTGATGATATATGGAGTAATAGTTGACAATATATTAATGGGAAAATGGAAACTAATAATCCAACCTTTTAGCGGTCTTCTTTCAACAATCCCACCTTTTGATTATTCATGAATAATCCAACCTTTGCACCTCATCTTCATTCACTGGTCCCTGACCGGTTGATGACCTGCTATTCCAAGCTATTTTCTTATCTTTGCAAATCATTATACCATAAATCTCATCTTTCACAAAGATAATATTTTGGAAAGATAAGAAAATAACTTGGAATAGTAGGTCATTAACCGACCAGGGACCAATGAATGAAGATGAGGTGCAAAGGTTGGATTATTCATGAATAATCAAAAGGTGAGATTATTGAAAGAAGACCGCTAAAAGGTTGGATTATTAGTTTCCATTTTCCCTATATTGGGTAATGCTTGGAGTGCAAGTTGTAGTCAGAAGACCGTTAAAAGGTTGGATTATTAGTCATTAACCTGTTTCGTGTTTCGTATACGGAGTACAAGTTATTGCCATTATTTTTTTGGCCAATGTTTTCACGTTAAAGAGTAATGCTTGGAGTGCCTATACCGTCCAGCAGGCTATACGGTGAGCACTGCACAATCAGTGGCATTTTAGTAATTTTAATTAAGTTTGTGGCATCGCTAAATCAACATTAACCTGTTTCGTGTTTCGTATACGGAGTACAAGTTATTGCCATTATTTTTTTGGCCAATGTTTTCACGTTAAAGAGTAATGCTTGGAGTGCCTATACCGTCCAGCAGGCTATACGGTGAGCACTGCACAATCAGTGGCATTTTAGTAATTTTAATTAAGTTTGTGGCATCGCTAAATCAACATTAATGTATTTTTAATGAGCATGAAACCTACTTTTTTGAGTATCAAGAGTCTAATAATGAACATCGTAATATCTCTTTCATATCTTTAATTCACTTTTGTTCTTATTTTTTAAAATACCTACAATGAACCCGTATGAGTCCTATTTGTGAATCTAATCTAATACTCCGTATTATACTTTTGAAATATGAATGAATATGACATTTTAAAATAAGCATTGTACCAGTGTCAAATGAGCATACATGACTTACGAAATGAGCAACGAAAAAATCAAAAAACTCATTTAAACTTATAGTATGCTCAAATTTTCATTTGTGTATGCTCATTTGAATTTTGTAACGTAATCAAATACGCACATGTATATGTTCAATTCTTTTAATCGTTATGCCCATTTATTAAAAACACTATACTCATTTTCAATATAACATACTACCTAAAATTTATGTTAATACTTTTAATATAAATTTCCAAAAATATAAATTTTATGATATTTATTAATAACGTAATGAAATATAATTACAATCATAATTACATCTAGACAAACGTGAAAGTCATATTGTAAAAGCAGGCAATATAATTTATTTCACTCTTCTACAAATTTAGTATTCTCAAAATGATTTTTTTTAACTTTCCTTTCCTTAACCAGCATAATTCCATTTTACTCTCTAATTTGAAGTATTAATATGTTTTTCTCGAGGATTTCTTTTTTGCAATTTAGTAGATTTTTTTTTTTTTTGGAAAATTTACAAGTACTCCTCTCTCCTCTCTTTAATATTAATTTCACAATTTAGTAGAATTGTTAATCCAATCTCTAAATATATGAATATAATTTTTTTTGCACAAAAATATACGAATATAATTACTAACACTAATTTGAAGAAAATCAGGGAGGAGCTAATTTTATAGGGAGATCAAATTGGGGCGGAAGGGAGGTATTTTATTGAGATTGATTTAGGTACAGTTGTAATATCTCATCTACAGCATTTGTAGATTCAATTCTGACGTACACGAAACAGGTAATAAGAATATCCCATAAACTTCCAAATTTGGAACCGCCGGTAAAAGGCGCACAGTGAAAAGAATATCCCATCACGTTAAAATCCCCAATCACAGCTGCTGCTACTGCACAAGGTTAGTAAGAAAAGCCTGCCTGCTTGCTATCACCAAAGAGAATCACGTTCCTTCAGCCCAAATGACAGTATAGAGAAGTCACTTCGGTGAAAAAAAAAACAAATGATTTCGCACAATGGAAAGGATTTTTCCCATCATCTAAATAAATCATTGTTGTTATCTTTTACATGAAACTTATGTAGCAGGAGGAGGTGCACCACCACCACCACCATGTCGCTGCATTGCTACAACCAGCTCACCACACCTTGGGCACCGGTATGACTGAACTGCAGAGCACCGCGTTTGAAGACAGTAATAACAAAACCTGCAAGTCATACAATTCACCACTGCCCTTATCCACTGCCTGGACCATCGAAAATAGTTGGAAAGAAACTAAAAGATACCCTACAAACTCAATAGGTCATCCGAACTCAATGAATTTACTTTAGATAATTTCTTACTCATTTTATTTATTTCTTTATTTATTCTTAATATATACTGACTAAGAAATCCAAATATATGTAAACTCAATTTCATACAATCATATTTTGTTTTTGTTGCCTTTTCTAGACTAAAACTTATCATAAGAACACACTTATTCTTAGTATTTTTTCTATTTCCGGACGCTTTTTGTGATCCCAATATACTCCCTATTAGAGTATGTTCGGAACTCACTACCTCAGAAAATGCTAGGTTGAGAAAATAGGGAGGAAAAGACTCCGAGAGAAATTGTGCGGGAAAATAAAATTTTGGTTCAAACTTGCTAAATTTATTTTGATAGTTCATACTGATTTATTAATGTTATAAAGACTAAAAAAATCTTAAATTTAAATCTATGTAAAAGACAACAAAATCTATGTAAAAGACAACAAAATCTAACTTTTGTTAACGTTTTTCACTTTTCTTTCTGAGTTGGGAAAACTGTCAAATAGACCTCATATTATTTCAAAAAAGTCAACCCCTGTGCTTTGAAAACACTTAATTAAACCCTCAAACTTTTAAAAAAACGCTCAATTGAGCGACTTTACAAGTTAACAGACGCATTTCTGGTTATCTGCACCGCGGCAACTATTTTGTTTTTCTATTTCTTTGCCTTTCCTTCTCTTTCCCCCTCCGCTTTCTTCCTGGTCAGATTGTTTGCTTTCTCTTCACCACATGGACATCAATGCCAGAAAACGGCCGCTTCGCCTCCTTCAGCCGTCTCAAATCAGATCCCCACACAGCAACCAGCCTTCTTCCCCATATCTTTTTAGTTGTGACTTGTGAGGTAAACCATAAAACCATCAAAGTTCTTAATAGCTTTAATTACTATCTCTATCCGGAATTCCTAATCTGGGTTTTCAACGGAGCTTTAGAATTGGTCAAAGGTATGGATCTAAAAATCTCAGAGTTTTGTTTTCATTGGGTCCAATTGTCCAAATAAAATGATTAGTATTGATAGATTATTCGATGAGAAGGAATGGTTTTGAGTTAATTTCAGTCAATTTTAGAACAAAAATATTTTTTGAAGTTTAATTTATTTGGACAAGATTTTTCATCACTTGCAATATGGAGCCAAAGATTCATTATTTTTTGGCTTGAGAATAAGATGGAATAAAGCAAAATGACTCATCAAACTGTCTGCTCTTCTTTGTTATGAAGCAGCAATTAGCCCATGCAATTTTGGACGCGATTTTCATTATGGGTCATCTGGAAATAGTCTATCTGTGCTTTAGTACAGGGGTGAGACTGCGTACATCCGACCCTCCCTTACCCCACCGTAGGTGGGAGCCTTTGCGGCACTGGGGTAAATGATGATTGAATTTATTTGGACAAGAAGAAACAAATTCAGTTGAAGAAGAAAGATTGAGAGAAGAAACAAAAAATGGACAGGGGAAAAAGAAGAAGGAAAACAGACAAAAGAACAGGAGCAAAAAGATGGCAGTAGGCAGTAGCCTTCTTTCCCATATCTTTCCAGTTGTGAGGTAAAGCATAAAACCATCAAAGTTCTTAATAGCTGCAATTACCATCTCTATCCGGAATTCTAAATCTGGGTTTCCATGGACCTTTGGTATTGGTAAAAAAGGCTGGATCTAAAAACCTCAGACTTTTGTTTTAATTGGGTCCAAATAAAATGATTAATATTGATAGATTATTCGATGATAATGTATGGCTTCATATTAATTTCAGTCAATTTTAAAACAAAAATGTTTTTTGAAGTTCAATTTGTTTTGACAAGAAGAAAGAAACTCAGTTGAAGAAAGATTGAGAGAGAAACAAAACAATGAACATGGGAAAAGAAAGAAGGAAAACGGACAAAAGATCAGGAGCAAAAAGATGGCAACAGCCTTCCTCCTGTGGAAGAGCTGGACTCTTGCTGCAGGGAGGAAGAAAGTAAAAGACTGCAAATCATCTGAAACCAAACAACGTAGTTACATATACCCTAGTTTGGAATTGGGCTGGCCGTGGGACAAGTTCCTTACTGGAAACGCAATTTTGAAAAGTTCCTTGCATTGAGAGAGTTTTTTTCACAGATAAAGACGAGTTATGCTAACAGTACAAAAAAAAAACTTTCAAAGAGTTATAAAAAAGGCACATGGAGTATCACACTGTTTAACACATCAATGGTGATAGAGCCATATCATTTGTTTGCAAGTTTGTTTGTTCTTGTATTATTTTCCCTTTCTGAATGAGGTTAGAAAGTGCAGTGCAAAATAAAAGTATCTAAAAATTATAATTGAAACTCAAATGCATTTTTTGAAAAGTGTTACACTGGACCCGGCTTTTATGTTATGCTGGCTTATGAAATTTTGAATCAGCACTTGAATAGAAATATATATATATAATGTTTGAGATTGTGTGTTGAAAAAAGAGCTTTTACCACCACAAGCGCAAAGTCGCAAACCCAAACTAGGATTGAGACATAACCATAAAGAGCATGAAAATAGTATAGTTGTAGTATAGTTGTATGCATACCTATGCTGACATGGTATGGCAAAAAAAGGAAGTGTGGGAGTCGCGAGGCATATGGGGCACAAGGCTTCATCAGTTGCAGAATTTGAAGATTTGCCCTTTGAGAATGGATGAAGGATATTTTTTATGGATGATGAGTTTAGAAGGGGAAGAAGCAACAGCAGCATTTCCTGTTATAAAAAAACACACTTCAGAATAGATGAAACCACAGAAGAAAAATGATTAAAAAACAATGATGCAATGTAAGAAACAACATTTTAAATTTAAAAGTCCATTGTTAGGCTTTGGTTTTAGCTTAATCAACCTTATTAAAGCCATATTTTTCACCATACATTAACTAGGGTCACTTGCGAGCTGGCTGAATCTGCTAATGAAGAATAAGTAGTGCAAGAGTAACTTGGCTGAAATCGATAATTTTAGCTTTATTTGTATATATTTTTTAAAACTTATTTAAACTTGTTCTTTTAAATGCTTGTTTTAGATAATTCAAGAGAAAGCCAAATCAGTAACTTCAGCAGATTCAGCAGTCTTGAGTCTTACAAAATGGGTCTTAAAGTCCAGTTTATGAAGCTAGATGGAAGAGAAACTACCAACAATTCATGCCAAACCAACTGCTGGTTCATGTACTCAAAGCTTACAGCACGATTCTTTTTGGGGCTTTGCAGATTCAGCAGTTTTGAGTCTTACAAAATGGGTTTTAAGTCCTGTTTCTAAAGCCAGATGGAAGGAAAATTACCGACAATTCATGCCAAACCAACTGCTGGTTCATGTACTCAAAGCTTACAGCACGATTCATTTTGGGGCTTCCATAAACAAGTCTTGCTCTTAAAGCTCTCTCAATAAGACTCCTATACCTGCATAAAGTTGATATTTATAATGCAGGTGAAAATCTATAAAATTAGCAAGCTGTGTTTATGTTACAGACTTACAGCCATGCTTATAATCTAGCTAAATATAAGGCATTGTACACAACAGATTACAACAGAACTCCTCCATAAAAAGAGGGCTATTGTGGCACTGAATCACAAAAAACAAGTCAATATCACGTGTGGCTTGTGCGGCTTCAGGGTGTAACACTCAGCGTGCCACTTAATTATGTAAGCTACATGTAGATCATAAAAGATACAAAAAAAATTATACTCATTTTATAAACAGTTTCATTTACATTTTCTTTATGAGAAATCACCTTGTAAGCTACATGTAGATCTTAAAAAATATAAAGATTTTATACTCATTTCATAAACAGTTCCATTTACATTTTCTTAATGAGAAATCACATTCTATGTTTTATGTTTGATTCAATTTAGATCAGGCACAAAACATTTAAAACATGATGTGTGTTTTCCAAGAAATAATAAATATAGATTAATAATATTTTCAAACAACAACATTACCCCAGTGTGCCGCAAAGGCTCCCACCTATGGTGGGGTAAGGGGGGTTGGATGTACGCAGCCCTACTTCTATACTAAAACACAGATAGATTGTTTCCGGATGACCCAAGATGAAAATCACGTCAATTGCATGGACTGACTGCTGCTTCATAAAAAAGAAGCACAAACCATTTAGTGAGTCATTTTGCTTCTGATAGGATCCTAGGCTGAAGAAAATAATGATAGTAGTAATAGAGTGATATTAAATAATTGTGGTAGAGTAAAAATAAGGGTTCCGAGCCATGTATATCATGGGTTTGGGCTGGCCCTTAAAAATAGAATTAGTATAAAAATGGGAGTGAGGAAAGGAGGTGGTTAGGAGAAATTGGGACTAGGATTTGGGAGTGCGAGACTACTTGAAGTGTCTCACTTTATTTCTGTTTCTGATTCTTCTCTTTCTTGTACACTAGCTATGGTTTATACCATTGCAATTGCTTCAGGAATTCTGAGATTTCTGAATTCCTTACTTAATATACACGAATTGTCTGGTTCCTATCAGCTTTATTTCATCATATTCCCAAGACAAAACACAGTGAGTCTTTGGCTCCATCGGAAATGATGCAAATATGAACAATATTTTCAAAGAAATAAATCTTTTACTACCTCCATCCCATTTTATGTGTCTCATTTGACTTTGGCACAATTATTAATAAAGTGGATGAAAAGGTAAAAGTTGTGGTTGAAATTTGAGTATAATAAAGTGAAATGTTGTGGACCACATATTTTCTTTTCAAAAAGGGAAATGTATACTTATTTCGGGACAACCCAAAAAGGAAAGTAAGACATGTAAAATGGGACGGAGGGAGTAATATTTTTCAAACATGTACATGTGACTTAAATAGTCAAGTGGCACACCAAGTGCCCAATTGCTACACCAACTACCTGATCTGAAGTTCTGAACTGAAAATTACTCCTATATAGGTATATATTTGCCAAACCTGTGCGTTTTAAAGCAAGATGACAGAGTGAAAAGAAGTAAAAGGTCAAACCATTGCATTTCCGTAGCTTACCTTCCGGTGCAAAGGAATAGGAGGAGGTTGCTGAAAGATGCTGCCTTATAAATTCCTTCTACACGTTGTATTAACAACCATATCCAGCGTGCTACAGATCTCTTCAATAGTGGGGAAATGGGAAATGTAGTGAGCATAGCGTAAATCAGTATTCTACATCTGTTCCGTAATACACATGCTAATAGCATAATCTAAATTTGACCATGACCAATTGTCCATCAATTAGATCACTCCACCCAGTGAACATAGAGACTGATCAAAGTTTGGTTATATACACATCAGTAAACTGAAAACCAATACAAAACATTCCAGAAACCATTACTGATCTAAAATCACTTATGTGGATATTCTTGATCTGAGGCTACAGAAGTTGAGTCAAACACTTATACCAAATGGTTTTAATCCATTAACTTTATATCTCATTTTGAAATCACATATAATACATGTTTTTAAGCAAACAAAGTACTCCCATGTTCACAATGAGTGTGTTTAAAGGAAAGCACACGCATTAAGAGTGTGTATGAAATATCTAAACACCATAAATAATAAGTGTGTTTAGTGAGAAAGGAACTGATAATAAATGCAAACTATAGGTATATTAGGGAAAAAGAGAAATCTTTTATCTTAAACTCCCAGAGACTAAGATTCTGGAAACAAATCTTTCCGTTAAAATACAATTACTGTGAACGGGAGAAAGTAAAATCTGTACTTTGAAGAGCATACAATCCATTTTCTTAGATAGAAAACACTTAACGATAAAGGAATATACCTGCTCAGAGTCACCCCATCTACGAAAAGCAGAAAATGATTGTAATCTGGCCCAGAAGTATTGACCGCCAACAGTTGCAATGCAATACCAGATCTTCTGTGCAACAGTAAGCCCGGGTCCTTCTAATCCTGTTCGGACTATATGATGAAACCGAGGATGACATGTAAATTAGTATCCTGAATGTATAATCTTTAGAATAAAGAGCAGGCCAATGTTTAGTTAGAATTAGGACTAATGAATGATTACAGAGTTTCAGTCAATTTGTTTCATAGTTTATGATAAGTTATGCAAGTGGAAAGCTCTATGCAACTCGGGAATCAGGACATACACCACATGAGGTAAAAAAGACACTGCCAGAAAATAATGCTCAACGGAAGATGGTCAATATTACTGAGAACCCGTTTTGGAAAGGTAATTTTGTCTGAAATTACTAAAGTAACTGAATGTGTGGCTATAATGATGAAGTTGCTAAATTATGACACACAAAAATTAAGAAAGAAGAGTAAAGTAATCTTCTTCAAAAACGTCTGCCAAAAAAGTGCCTCCAGAGTCCAGAACAACTTGTATTCATTTTTAACTCACTTTGGACACTTAGTCAGATACATCTGTATTACCTTTTTGGAAAAGGTACAAATATACCCCTGTAGTATGAGTGTGAGAACAAATATACCTCTATTCTATATTCCGGAATAAAGATACCCCTGAAGTATATGCTGAAGTGCATATATACCCCTGAACTTTTAAAAAGTGCAAAAATACCCCTCATGTTCTTATAAAGAAGAAAATTTACCCTTATTGACATTAAATAGATAAAATAAATTTCAAAAACACCAAAAATAAATTATAAATTCGAAATTTAAAAATAAAGATTTATTATTATGTTAAAATATTAACTCTGTAATTTTAACTTGCAAAATTATTACTTTTTTGTTTGTACATGAAGCAATTCAAATTCATTAATTTTAATTTTAGTCTTGTTGCGAAATTGTGAACACATTGTTAATTTTTTTAAAATAACATGCTTTGAATTTGTTTAAACTTAATAAAATTAAATTCACTATATTGTAATCTCGGACTATTTATCATCATACAAAAATATGTGATAATATAGTGCAAAGAATGCAAACAAATTTTTTTTACATTGCAACACATATGTTAACACTTTTTCAAAAGAATCCCGAATATATAGTAAAGTTTTGAAATAATATTTTATACTAACAATATTAAATTGTGATATACAAACAATAAAAGGGAGAATTGGACACAAGTACATTTTTAAAAGATTTTATTTTTTCATTTCGAATTTATAATCTATTTTTGGTGTTTTTGAAATTTATTTTATCAATTTAAAGTCAATAAGGGTATATTTTCTCTTTTATAAGAATATGAGGGGTATTTTTGCACCTTTTAAAAGTTCAGGGGTTTATATGCACTTCAACATATACTTCAGGGGTATATTTGTTCTGAAAAGCAACAGAACATGGGTATATTTGTTCCCACACCCATACTACAAGGGTGTATTTGTACCTTTTCCCATTTTCTTTTTGGTAAACAGTTGACTTATAAGGCTGATAAAAATGGCTAACAAACGGCCATTTACAATCTAAAGGATTTCTATGGCCATTCTCACCTTTTCCTTGCATCTCAAAAGCACGTTCATCTCTATACCGCAAATTCATTAGAGCATTTCCTGGAGTAGGCTTATCAGCCCAGATAGAGAAACGCCAAATGAGAAACTCGAGGAACGCATCAAGTTCTGGCTCGTATTGAAACAACATTCCTGGCTAATTCCAAAGGAATGACAAACGGTGATTAAATGCTGACTGGTTGACTAAAGCTTTCACAAACTCCTGCTTAGTAACTTCATAGAAATAGTTCATCCAAATAAATAAGAAACAGAAACCATAAGGACACTGTACCTTCATTAAAGAAAAAACCTTCACCAACTGCTCCTTTAACATGGCTGACATTTCAAAGTCCAGCCTGCCTGCATCAATTTGATTTACTCGAGAAATGGCAATTGGAATAGCTGACTGCCAATGCGAACACAGAAGTCATGACTATGACTAGAAAACAGTACAAAAACTGAAAAAAAGACTCCCAACTACCACTAAAGTCATGCCATGATAACAAACAGAAATGTTCTAGGCTTCTAGCAACCTCCTTGCTACATAACCATGTTTTGTAGTAAGGAGGCTTTTAGAATATTTCATATATAAACGTTTCCCAATCCTATGACAAAACTACATAAATAGAAATATTAACAGAAAGTTTAGAATCTTCAGGAATTACAAACGATCTAGCCATTTGATAGAAAGCAGGAAGAGCATGGGGCGGGGATGGGCATGAGCCCACCTTCCATGGGTGGCTTAGTTATTTTAATTAATTCCTTTAGTTATTTCCTTTTATTATGTTTCCTATTTTATTTTGTTACCTACTATGATTTAATTAGGAGTTCTATTGGAAAATTAGAGGTTTCCTATTCTATTTAGTTTCCTATTATGGTTTAAGTAGGATTCCTATTCTTGTTAGACTTAGAGGGTTATTTGGCTCTGGGCAATGATTTCTACCGTTGATTATCTGGGCAACGGATTATTCCGTTGATTTTCTTTTTCTGTTCTCATCACCATCTAGGGAGTAGTAATGTACTCTGTAGGTCACCCATTTATTAAGAAAATGTTAAGCTACTACACTGCATTATGGAATTGGATAATTTCATTGTTCTAAAGAGATATGGGCGCTTTAAGGGTAACAGAGTGTGCCCAGCCCCTAAGCGAAGCCTGGGTGGAGGCCGATAGAAAGGTTAAGTGGGGTCGATTCCTGAAATGCACTCTGAATTGGAAATTGGAAATTGTAATTTTGGTATGGCAATTGGAAAATGTACTCTGATTTGAGAGAAAAAGCACAATTTCTTCTCAAAGAACACTATATGCACTTCCCACGTTGAAATCAATTGCCAGTAGGAGTGCATCAGGGCAGGAACATATATAGTGTTCCCACATATGCCATCGCCCATCCATATTAATTGAAAAGTCTAGGAACCTCTCTGCCTGCATCCTTGTTGCATATAGGATATGCTTTATCCCAGCAATGCAGGAAAGGAAAGATTTTTTTTTTTGAATGAATGAGGAAAGAAAATTTTAAGAAAGGTTATTTTGTTATGTTTAGAAAATGATTAGTACTTTTGAAATTGCTACATGTCTTTGGATTGCTTCGTCCTATTTATAAAATAGAAAAAATGGCTGCAATCAACAGTTAAAAATAAATTTACTGACTTAAAGCAAAATTTTAATTTCCTCAACATTTTCTTTCTTCCAAATTTGTCCTCTATATTCTTCTATACTTTCCTTTCATAGTGTTTTCATTATTCCAAAGTCCAAATGGAGCCCTAACCAATAAAATAATACTCTGAATATGTAAAGACAGAACAAATACTTAATATCCCCATATATAGTGTTAGCACTTTTTTCCTGTTAAAATTAATCACTTAAATCCAGCTAAAAACTAGAGAAGTAAAGCACTAATGAAAGAAACAGATGCCTGGTAAAACCTGATGAGGTGGAGTAACAGATTGCCAGCGATGGCCCAATTTTCGGTAGGTATCTATCCAAGCATCTTCTGGAGGTGGCGGAATTATAGAGGAGTCCCCGCTACCAGTCTGGGAGGAAGATGATGAAGCTAGGGTTTCTCTAGCCATTTCTACACTATTTTCTGGTTTGTTACTTTGGCATGGACGGACTGGTACAGATAGAGTTGGGAATGAAGCCGAAGATTCATACACTCCGGTGGAGAATGGGTGGATTCTCAGGCCATAACACTCATTTTTGTTGGGGTGCGCACTTCGTTATTCATCGATTCCCATGAATTTCAACAGTCAGGAGAAATTTTGTTGCTTTTAAATAGGGTAGTAAACAAATACGATGAGGAGTATTCAAATTCGAATAATAGATACTCCCTCTTAAATTTAGTTATTCATTTATATTCTCCCGTTTTAACTCTTCGGGAAGTCTCACTTAAATTGTCTCATACATACCATATTTGGCAAAGTTTGTGTGGCTCTAAATCATTCTTACTTTATTCTTACTTTATCAATTAATATCAACCACACAAACTCATTTTTCTTAATAATCGTGTCACCCTCTTCCGTCCCAATATAAATGGGACGGAGGAAGTACGTAATAGAATATGAAACCACTTTATTTCAAAAATATTACTAAAATAAAATTTATTGAAAGTAATATGATTGACGGTTGTTATAATATAATGTCATGATAACTTAAATTTAAAAATTGAACACAAATTACTATGATGCTATATTATTTTAGTCATTAATCACAATTTTGTACACATTCTTTATTTTAGTCATAAATATATAATTATTTCATATGAATATGATATATATTTTTTGTTCAAATAATTTATCGGAGCCAGGATGCCCAACAGGTCGCCAACCATTTCGTCGCCAGAGATGTTGTTCGTTGCTTCTAGAGGATGTCGTGTCATCAATTTCTTAGTAGCTGAAGGGCAGGGGCGGAATCAGGGGGTGCAAGTCGGTGCCGGCGCCACCCCTTCGCCGGAGTTTTTCTTAGTAGTAGAATTAGGTATTTCGACCGGCGCCCCCTCCCATATCTTTCTATCTTCTTCGTTGAGAACTACAGTGAGCCAGCGAACCAGAGAGATTCGAGAACATCAGCCGCATAAGTTGTTTTTTTTCTAATTAAATGAATCAACCAAACGACGTCGTTTGATTAAGTGCACAGAAAAACACAAAACGACGTCGTTTCTTCCAAAAATCAGATGTACGCGTTTGACTTCTGGGTCCCCTCATTGGTGCAGTTCCTCTTCCATATTCCAAAAAATCGGCCGTTCCTCACCTCCTCCTTCTCCATGGCACCCTGACGTCTGAAACTCTGAATGGTGTGATACTCCCGCGATCCGCCTTCGTCCAGAATTCCGGACTTCGTCCAGTCTTCCTCAGTCTCCGCCCTCGTGTCCGGACTCTCAGTCTCAGTCTCACAGGGTCACCACGCCGGCGGCGACTGCCCTAGCTTATTTCTCCGATAATACAAACTCCGAACTCCAAAGACCAGGCAGGGCTAGTTGCAATCTCTTTTAACAACTTTAATTGAAATGTTTTATAACTGCTTCAATTGCTTTTTTTGCTGGAACAACTTTAATTGCTTATGTGCTTTAATTATTAATTTACTTTAAAATTGAATTAATTAATTCATTAATTCTTTTGCAAGTTAATAATGTTCATCCATTAATTACTTTATTTCTGTAAAGCTTAATTGATTAATTGCTTGAATTGGAATAAATTTGAAATTGTTTTTACAAATTTATTGATTAATTACCCTTCAAATTTTAATTGATCAATTGCTTTTAGTCTTAGCTAGCCACCCCTTTATTTTCGTTCTGATTCCACCACTGTTGAAGGAAATGGCGATAATCGCTCAGGAAGGCTCTCTAGCAGGACAATTGGTCGTGAAGACTCTCAGGCTAGGGTTCTGTGAATGAAGAGAGAAAGAGTGATGTTAAAGTTGATTTAGAGACCAAAGAAAGAAAACAAATTTTAGGTGTTAAAATATAACAAAATAATGTTAAAACAAAATAAAATTGGGTGTGAGCGTCACTATGAGATATTGATAGTATTGTGTCAGAAATTAATGACACATATACATCGTAAAGAGGATATGTCGTATTATAGTGACACTATATTAAAAACTGTCACTAACAAAGTATCACTATAAGCCTGTTTTGTACTAGTGAACCTCTTTCCTCTCCTGGATGTCATCTCTGGTTGTGTTAAAAACTTGAAAGGTTTCTGAGGAGTAGTTGATCCCCCTTTGTTGACATTCTGACTAGTAATAGTGTTATCTGTCTTCTTAACAGGTAATGGGCTTCCAAACACAGACTTTCCCTCCACTTCGATTCTCCTAGTAAGGGTATCTATAACATTTAACTGATTTCTCACTAGCTTTACAGTTGAATCCAGTGTGGTTGGGTTGAACATTTTAATAAATGCCTTCAACTTTTTTTACTGACAAAACTAGATATGAAATATTGTTCTCAAAAAACCCACTATGATGCATTATCATGCATGATTTTTAATTCCTCAAACCTGTTCACATACATTTAGTAGTCAATTCCCATTTTAAGTTTATTGAGATCCTCACTAATTGATGAGACCTTCAGCCCCTCAAACCGGACAGGTATAACTCCCAAAAATTTCTCCCATGATAGTATATTCAGATCCTTATCCAGATGTTGAAACCATGATAATGTTGTTCTTTCAAAATGCAGGGTGGCTAAAGTAACCCTTTGGTCCAAAGGTATGTGAGGCATGATTTTAAAATAACCCTGACATTTGATGATCCAGGCACGGGGATATGATCCATCAAATCTCAAAAAGTCTGTTTTAGGAAATGGTGGATGAGATTGATAATTACATGTCTATTCATTACTTCTGTATCTCTGATTTGATCTTCCATTTTGTAGGTTAAGCATTCCAAATCCAGTGAGTGGCTCACCTAGTATGGATGTTTCTTCTAGTGTAAACTTACTATCCAGGTTACCTTTTCTCGGTTTCTGCCTACCATGAGGTGAGTTTGTTATGATTGGATCTGGTTTCATCTATATTGCTTCCATTCGTTTATGAATCATTTCCAATAGCTTGAGAATTTAAGCCTGGACCTCCTTATTTCTTAACCGGATCTCACCATTTTCTGCTTTGCAGATTCTCACTTTAAGATCTCAACCAAAAAGCTCTATTCTAGTCTTTTCTACCATTCTAAGCACCCCTTAACCTGAGTACCTTCTGCCATCTACCTGGATCAGCACAGGGCTCTGATACCAAATGTGATGTTCGTCCAATGCGGATAGGGAGAACAAACGAAGGGAGGGGGAGAGGATACTTGGAGAAGAAGAAAGAGAGAATAATTAATTAGTTATTTTAATGCCTTGTCAATGTAACTTTGTACATATTAATAGTCTAGATGTGCCAAAAATAGTACTCCGTAATAACCCATAACATACACTCTGGGTTTTTAAAAGAAAGTAACTTAATTTCATATTATAGAAATATTAATATAAACCCCAACCCAATGTCTCTTTTCTTATCTCAACATGTTCATTGCTTATTCAAGCCTGTTTGCCGCCTTCTGTTCATATGGAACACATGTCTCTTTCTTGTCATCTTCTTCCTTTATTATTAGTTTTCCCAGTGTTCCCTTTGTTTTAACGGTAGATATGTCATAGGGTCACAATCCGTACTACCATCACATATGAATGTCATGTCACTTTTTTACAAGATACCCCAAACTGAAAATGTTTAATTTCATGTTGGGCACATATAGTAGACATTAGAGATGAAATCATTTTTCCATTTTCAACCGGAATAAAACTTTCTCATTTCCTTTTATTGAAATTTTTTATTCATCTCCAAAATAAATATTTCCACTTACCGATTCATCAAGCTCGACAAACATATCTTTCTCCCCGCACATGTGGCTACTTGCTCTTGTATCCAAGTATCAAGTCATTTTGGTGTCACTTTTTTCTCCTTTATAGGCCATCAACAATGTTCAATTTTCTTATTCTTTGCAAAAATTTGTTCGCTCCTCAACTTTATTTTTTGCCAATCTACAATCGGAGGCATAGTGACCAAATCTTTGACAACTATTGTATTGAACTTGAGGTTTATCATATCTTGCTTTTAAAAAACCTCCTCTCCCTCGGCCTCTTGATGAATAAAAATTTGGAGTTCTCTCTTCTGTATTGGAAGTCTCGTAACCTCCACTTCCATATCTTTGACTTTGATTGCGTCCTCTTGAACTAATTTGATTTCTTCTATCTTGAAAGGTTTCTTCATTTCTTAGTGTGAGCTTGGTTTGAAGAGCTTGCTCCAATGAATTTTGTTTTATTCTCTTCTTGATTTTTTCTTCACGAGTTTGAAACAAATCCCAAGAGGGCGCAACTATGTAATCAAATTTTGAATCTAAAGACAGTAGAAGTTTTTAGTTGATTAATGACGTTTTGAACTTTTGAGAAATAATCATCAATGGATTTCAAAGAGTTTATGCTTATGAAGTTATGATTCAAACTCACCTCGAAGAGTTTGGAGTCTTACTTTTTTCACCTTATCTACTCGTTTGAAAGAATTCTCCAAAATCTCTCAAACTTCTTTGCTTCTAGTTGCACACGCCACATTTGCGAACATAACTTCATCTAAAGCTTCATGGATGGTTGATCTTTGTTTTTTATATTTCTCAAGGCATTCTTTTGAAGTTGACTTAAGGCGTTGATGTCTTCGGGGTACCTCGAAGCTTTCCTCTACCATGTCCCACACATCTTCCGAATCAAGTATCTTCTTCGGTTCTTTATGCGAATTCTCCAATTGTCATAGTTCTCATTTTTTTAATGGAGAAACTTGAAGGGGACCAGCCATTTTTGGGTGATGACCGAACGAGCTTTGATACCACTGTTGGAAATAGTTGAAGAAAGATTTGAGAAATTGAGAGTCTAAATTAGAAATAATATGGACGAGATATTAAAACAAAGGCAAGAACTCTTTTTATTAGAACAACTTAAATTAGCTTAATTTGCTTCAATTTGCTTGGACTTGATCCAAAGTGGTGATACAAAAGCCTCTATTTATACTAGTAGAAAACTATCTCGACTACTTTATAATTAATGCATATAACTAATGGTAGGAGAATTCTAGAGACCACATCTTCTAGAGGAGTTCTAGAATATGTTATCTACATTTTTCTACTACTTTGGACATTTTTCCAACAACAAGTTTAATTTTCAACAACTATTTTCTCATAGTATTAACACATATATGATCACGGATTCGGGTCCTTGACGGTGACCATGGTAGCATTTGTCACATATTAGACTGTGAGTCTGTGACTCATCCCTGCTAAAGCTCATC